GCAGGTGAAGCTCTGTCTCACTTGGAAGGACAGTTTAGGGCCTTAAATGGAGGTGAGGGAGGTGGTGTGTGGGCAGGTGTTGCACCTTTTACGGTTACAGGGGAAGGTACCGGGTGGGTTGGAGTGGTTGGTGGGGAGTGTGGTGTGAACTAAGGAGTGGTGAAGGGAATGGTCCTTGGGGAAGGCAGAGGGAGGTGGGGAGTGGAAGATGTTCTGGGTGGTGGGGTCTAATTGGAGTTGGCAGAAGTGTCTGAGGATGATATGTTGAATGCGGAGGCTGGTTGGGTGGAAAGTGAGATCAAGGGGGACCCTATCTTTATTAGGTTTGGTGGAGTGCGGTCAAGAGTTATGGAGTGGGGAATGGATGAAGTGTGGTGCAGGGCTGTCTGGATGACAGAGGGGGGAAAAGAATGTAGTTTCAAAAAGGCGGACATCTGGGATGCTTGGGAGTGGAACGTCTCCTCGTCAGAGCAGATGTGACGGAGTTGAAGGAATTGGGAAAACGGAATGGAGTTTTTGCAGGATCGAGGGTGGGAGAAGTTGTAGTCCAGGTAGCTATGGGGGTCTATGGGTTTATAGTAAATGTCAGTCTGTAAACTGTCACCAGAAATGGAAACGGAGAGGTCAAGAAAGGGGAGGGGGGTGTCTGAGACAGACCAAGTGAATTTGAGGGTGGGGTGGAAGTTGTTCACGAAATCGATGAACTGCTCCAGTCCAGCCTGGATGCAGGATGCAGCACTGATAAACAGCCATTGATGTAACAGCGGAAGAGTTGGGGAACAGTACCGGTGTACGTAGAGAAGAGGGACTGTTCAACATAACCGACAAACAGGCCCATGAGAGTACCCATGGCAACCACCTGGATTTGGAGAAAGTGAGAAGAATTGAAGGAAAAGTTATTGAGGGTGAGGACTAGTTCGGCAAGGTGAAGGAAGGTATTGATGGGGGGAACTGGATGGCTCTGTTGGAGAGGAAAAAGCTGAGGGCCTGTAGACCATCCTCGTGGGGTATGGACGTATGTAGGGACTGAATGTCCACAGTAAAGATGAAGCACTGGGGGCTGGGGAACTGGAAATTTCCAAAGAGGTGGAGGATGTGGTTTGTGTCCCGGATGTAAGTGGGGAGTGCCTGGACCAAGGGAGAGAATGGGGTCAAGGCTATCACTAGGCTGGTAACCCAAACTAATCCTCGCAATTCCCATCACAACAACCGGTGCAATTTAAACACATTGTGATGGATGGCACGGTGTCTCACTGGTTAGAACTGCTGCCTCACGGACCAGGCTCCTGGGTTTGATTCCAGCCTCAGGTGACTGTCTGTGTGGAGTCCGTACATTCTCCACATGTCTACATGGGTTTCCTCTGAGTGTTCTGGTTTCTTCCCACAATCCGAAAATGTACAGGTTAGGTGGTTTGGCATTGCTAAATTGCCCTTTCCTGTCTGGGGATTTGTAGGCTAGGTGGATAGATCATGGCAAATGCAGGGTTACAGGGATAGGGTTGAGCGTGGGTCTGTGTGGGATGCTCTTTGGAGGATTGGTGCAGACTTGATGGGCCCAATGGCCTCTTTCTTCGCTGTCAGGATTATATGAGTTAAATGTATTAAATGTGGAGACTGAAATGTAATTGACTGCATTATGTAAACTGAGCAATGTAAATCACATGGAAAAATTAAACATACTTGAATAAATTGACAATTTCAATTAAGAGTGCGGATGCTTGTGATCCCCATTTTCATTACAGCAATACACACCATATGGACCACTCCGCAGGCCTGTACTGTTCTGCAAGCAAGTAAATTAATGTGAATTTGGTGAACTTTCTGCCAACATTAAGGTTCAGGGTTTCACAGACATATTTATCATTTCTTGCCAGCTCTGAGACTTCTCTGTTGCAAGGCAATAAACTGGCTGTGGTCTTGGAAAAGCTCATTCTGCACTCTATGGGAAGCCCTATGCAGCCTGTGCCAGAGTCAAAGCTTTCATTACAGTTGGTTTTGGGGAGGCATAGTGATAATGTCTCTGGATTAGTAATCCACAGATTCAGGCCAATGCTTTGGGGACATGAGGTTGAATCCCACTACGTCAGATGGTGGAATCTGAATTCAATAAAGCTTGCGAGTTAAAAGCCGACCTAGTGTTACCGTATAGCTGCTGTGAATTATTAAAAACCCATCTGGTTCACTGATATTGTTTAGGAAGGGAAATTCACCATTCTTACCTGGTCTGGCTTACATGCTGCTCCAGACACACAACGTGGTTGACTCTTAAATGCCCTTAGGGCCAAGGCACACAATTTCAAGGGGCAAATCGAGATGATCATAAATTCTAGTTCAGCCAGCGATGCCCACATTCCATAAGGAATAGGAGCAGGAGTAGGCCATCTGGTTCCATCGAGTCTGCTCCACTATTCAATGGCTGATCTTTTCGTGGCTCAGCTCCACTTGCCCGTCAGTTCACCACAGCTTACTGTTCAAAAATCTATCTATACTTGCCTTAAAAACATTCAACGAGATAGCCTCAACTGCTTCACTGGGCAGGGAATTCCACAGATTCACAACCTCTTGGGAGAAGAAGTTTCTCCTCAACTCAGTCCTAAATCTGCTTCCCTTTAGTTTGAGGCTATTGCTCTGGTTCTAATTTCACCCACCAGTGGAAACTATCTCCCTGCTTCTATCCTATTTATTCCCTTCAAAATTTTATGTTTCTATAAGACTCCACCCCCTCCCCCATTTATTCTTCATGAATGAATAAAAATAAAACTATTCTTAGCAGAGCAATTCCAGCATATCACCAGCAAGCAAGATCATTAGAAGGAAGCCATGTGATGTGTATGGAGCCAGTTACATAAGTAAAAGTTCAGATGATGATGGTTAATTCAGTTATGCTGACTCATGAGTTAAATGTGGGCAAAATGAGCAATGTCCAATCTCATGATCCAAGCCAGATCTGATTCCTTCTGCTGCCTCTCTCCAAGTTAACATGAAACTAAGGCAGATGACTGAATGTATTCAAAAGGTGACAATTATCTAAAAAAAAATCCAAAGCAAGAGGGAGGCAAAAAATAGGGGAAAAAAACAGAGCGAGAAGTAAGGATGAACAGACAAGGGAGCGAAGGGGAGAGGAAGAGAATGGGTGGTGGAAGGGAGACAGACAGGGCAGGGATGAGAGGGGGAGCGCATGAGGGGAATGGGAGAAAGGGGAGCAAGCATGGTAGGGTGTCAGGGGAAAGGGAGAGGAAAGAGGGCAGGAGGTGGAGAGGTTGGTAGAGTGGGAGAGAGCCTGGGCAGAACTTCACCCCATCAGAGGTGATAGCTACATCTGAGCTTCATTGGGAATCCTCAGCACTGCAGGAGCCCTGGTCTCCAAGGTTCATTCTCATCGCCTCTTCTTATATTTAGACCAGGAGACCAACTGTCACCATCATTGCAAGGTGTGTAATGACAACATCACACTTCCTAAGGGCAGTGCCTTCTAGCTCAGAAAGTCACCTCAGTGGATGTACACATGAGGTAGGGAGGTACTGGGTGATGAACACACCACCAGTGAGCAGAGGTGACAGAACTGGAGACAGCTATGAGCAGATGCCTTTCAGTGAATGGAGGATAGACACTGCCCTCTTCAGCTATGCACAAAAGCAAGGCTTAGAGATTTACTGGAAAGGAGACTGTGTCAACATGTGGAGTCATGGGCTGAGAATGGAAGTGTCCATCCAGCTCATGTCCCACCATGAGTTCCACGATCTGAGAATATGAATTCCTCTAATCAAAGAGTGCCGAACCTCATAGACTGCCATACACGGCAGCATCTGGGTGCACCATGATACACCCAGAATAAACACTGATGGGGCAGGAATATCTGGCACGGATGCCAGTTGCCAAGGTAGAGTAAATTAGTCACCATAGCCCCAGAGGACCATCGGGCTGCTTTCTCATTAAGGAGATGACTGGTTGCGAGTTTAATCTGAGGGTCACCAGGCCTCAGCTGAGGGGAGAGGTTGAGAAGATGGTGGCTGAGAAGGGTAACGGTGCCCCCTCTTGAGATTAAATCCTCCATGCCCTGCCTAGCAATCATTCTATCTACAATTCCTCCCCTGATGCCAGGGACCATGCCCTTCCTACAAAGGATGGTGTCACCTCCAACTCCACTGGACCCATAACCTGGTACCACGTTGCCAGGTCTTGTTGTCCTTGTACTCAGCTGCTCACACCCCTTCCCCATTTCCGCATGGCAGCCTTCCTGCTCCTCTCATGGCCATGACGTGCCAGGAGGGTGACTGCCCCCTGCACTGGACCCACTGCTTTGAGCTAACCCCAGGTCACCCAGCGTGCCAATGGCTGTATTCCAAGGCACCGTTCACCATTTCTTGGAGGCCAGTGAATTCTCTGGAGTGACTGTGTCTGGCACCTTGGCGTGTGCCCAGATAGTTGTGAGTGTCCAGGTCACCATCAAAAGATATCCCTCAATTGGCTCTTTAATCGCCTCAGTTGGCCTTTTTCATAGATTTAGAATCCGTAAAGGGTTGATAGATCATTCTCCCTTTGTCCCAGTGACTGGCATCCCCTGGGACTTCGCTTTGGAAATGGGGTGAGGGGGTGTATTTACCCTCGCCCTTTTGCCTGCCTCCGTTCTTGCCCTGGGCTGTACCTGAAAATATCCTTCCCGATTTCACGTCTCTCTTTGTGTCTCCCACTCAGTTAGCAGCGGAATCCTTAGAAAATGCAAGTCCCTACAGGGGTTAATGGTTAAAACAAAACGACCATTTCAGTCTTTTTCGCTGCCGTTCTAATTTGCAAAGATTAAATCTGGCCGTCTTAATTAGGAGGCGAATGAAAAAAAAGGTCAGATTCCCTGCCCTCCCCTGAAACATTATACTTAGAAGACATCTGCTGCGGTGCAAACATGTTCCTAACGGGCTACTTTAGTGGGGGGGGCGTGGGAGGCTATGGACAAGCATAAATAAAACCATCTGATGTGTGCTGTGGCCAATCGTGTGCTGTAGTGAAGTGGAAGTATAGTGTAGGGTTGGGATTGAGTTATACAGAAGGGGAGGATTTAAAAAAAAAAGTTTGATGCTGCACACTGCTAGTGGTGTGGAGAGAGAGAGAGACTGGCGTGCAGGGAGTGAGAGCACCGAAGATCTTCACCAGAGGCTGGGGCAGGTTGGCTAAGCTGCTTGCAAAATGCCCCAATGCAGCAGTGTGTGGCCGAACAAAGCCGCAAGGTGTGGCAGTCGCAACCAGGAGGAAACAGTGGGCAGCCCAAAGCCGCCTAGCAGTTTGTGCCTGACCGCCGTCAACATGCACCGAGACTGAGTTACACCCCTGCAAAAGTGTCCGGACGAGAAAGTTAAACTCGAGGTGAGATTTAAAACAATTTTCAATCATTCCCACTGTTTCTGCTTTGTCTTCTTCAACATCGCCGGTGTGGCAAAAGCAAGGGTATTTATTTTTATTGTTGTCGTTGCTGTCTTCACGGTGTGCTTCCTCTAATCCACATGTTTTCCAGTTACTGACATTTTCCCCGACCTCTTCTCGCACTGAGGTGAACGTACCAAGGAACAAGTTTTGCACATAAAACTGCTACAAATCTCCCCTTCTCCCCACCCCACCTCATTCAGCGAGGTCTCTCCACCTTTTGTACAAGAGACAGTTTTCGTTCTCCCCCTGCAAATCACACCTCGAGATTTTATTCCCAGCGTAAAGGACGTGTGTGAGACGATGCATTTTTATATCCTTTGTGTTAAAGCTCACTGCTCGCACCGTCCATGGACAACCGCACAGTTGAACAGCAAGTCTCTGTCAGCTTTTGAAAGGACAAAAGTCTGTGTTAAATCGTGGGTACAGAATCCTTCGCCAAACCCTGACTGATCTGCTGTGTACTTCCAATATTTTCAGCTTTTGGATCATATTTCCAGATTTTGTAGGGATTTTTTTGTTTCATCTGAGCAATTCATTTTCTCTCTGTTTCAAAGTAAAATTTACAAAGGCAATTAATGCAGAATGTTGGAGAGAATGGCAGCTCAGCCCAATAATAGATTCACACTCTTGGGGACACGGGGGTTGGGGGTGGGATTAGTCTGAAATGAAATGGCATTGATCATGTCACAACCTTCCTTTTGTTTGAGATGTTGAATCAAGACCCCCCTCAGATGGATGTTAAAAAAAAATGCCATGGGCACAGTTTCAAAGAACAGCACAGGAATTATTCTCAGTGACCAGGCCAATATTTATCCCTCAGTCAACACCACAAAATCAGATCTCAGTAACACTCTACTTTCCAGTCACAAATTGGCTGCCATGTTTCTGACATTGCAATATTGATTACACTTTCCTTCACTCTTACACTTTGTTTGTGTTGGCATTACCGACAGATACCCGCATATGGCCAACATTTTATTTTTAAGCACGAATGAGCTTAACAATGTGACAGTGACTGGGTAATCTGTTTTCATTGGCTATGAAATGTTTTGGGATTTCCAAAATTTGAGAAATGTGCTACACCAATGCAAGTTCTTTCTTATTTACCTTAGACGCTGCATTATCCTAATAGCTACAGTTTGGAAATGGGGCCTAATACAGAGAACAGAATAACCACAGGGGCTATTTTTGGGGTAGCACGGTGGCTCACTGGTTAGCAGTGCCACCTTACAATGCCAGGAGACCCAGGTTCAATTCCACCCTCAGCTGACAGCCAGCATGGAGTTTGTGCATTCTTCCTGTGTTTGTGTGGGTTTCCTCCTGCTGGTCTAGCTTCCTTCCACCATCCATATCTGTGCAGATTTGATAGATTGGCCATGATCATTCCTCATCATGTGCAGGCTTGGTGAATTAGCCATGGGAAATGCAGAGTTAAAGGATAGGGAGGTTTGTCTGGGTGGGATGCTCCTCAGAGGGTCAGTGTGGACACAATAAGCTGAATAGCCTGCTTCTACACTGTAGGGATTCTGTGATTCTTGTCTAGAGGAGCAATTTCAAGAATTCACCAAATTTCATTCCTTAATCTTTGCTTTTAACTCTTACTTCCCCCGACTTTTCTAACTGTCTGGCAAAGGCACCAGCCAAACTAGTGGCAGCTACATTAGGATGTAACTCTGAGATGTCAGTGTTGCTCACACTTTCTGTGAACAGTCAGTGAAAGGGAATAGCAAGTCTGTCAACATTCGAAAATTCTGGATTAAATTCTGAGCACGGAACCCATCCCCAAACCCTGACTGATCTGCTGTATCAGAATTTTCATATTTCCAGAACTTGCAGTCTTTTATTAAAATTGCTGAGCAGCTCACTTTCTGTATTTTTCTAAGTAAGGTTAACACACTCTGACTGATGTCAAGAAATGATGGAGAGCAGAGATGAATTCCTTGTTCCTTTTGTTTAGGTTATTTATACACTTAAAATGGGCTCCCATTCACGATGTCCATTTTCTGTTCCAGATTAACCGTAAACCTAGAAATTTGCCATGAACAGCAGTTATTTGTGACTTGAGCATTTAAACAGCATGTTGATGATACCAACTCCTGCAAGAAAACTGGGAAGGGAGATAGCTTTTGTCACGAATATAACAAATGACGTACAATTTTTCCCTCAATAACGAATGACCTGCTAACAAAACAGAAATTGAAGATTGTGATTTTTGAGAAGGAAATTTCATTTGTAACATTATATGTTGCTGAATGTGTTTGTGCCTTCCACTTTGATTGAAGGGGAATTTCGCTTCATACGTAGCCTCAAAATTGGGCAACAAAATAAAAATTCGGAGCGCACACCTTGAAACCTAGTTGCAAAATATTAAAACGTCTTTGTGCTAACTAAAGCAGAGTTTGTTTTAGCTGGTATGGATTAAGCAAATTCATATTAAACAATCTCAAAATAAGTGTTTGATTTTTGGGTTATGAACATGCTAAAACAGCTATTAGTAGTGTCTATTTTGTTTCTAAAAGTACTTAAATCCCACTGGGAATTTTCATCTACACTGCTGGACTGTATGATTAATCAGTTATATGTATGGATGCTCACCTAAAATTGTTTGCAGTAGTGAGAACCATTCAATAATAGATTTAATGGAATGTGTCGTATCTTTCTATTAGAAGCAGGCCATCAAAAGAATAAACTGACTGTTTCAGGAGTAAAAGATGAACAGTTCCAAGCATCCTAGAACAGCATTCACACAATGTGTGACTTCATGTTTGTGGAGTAGTTCACCAACAGCTGCTGATTCACTAATTAGGTCTGAGAGAAGTGTAAGACTTCGATGCCAGTTTTGTATGTATCCTGGACTTGTGTCAGAGCAGTAAAATGGCCCTTTTCATCAAGTCTTTGCAGTGGTGTGGGATCCCTCTAAAGATAGCTGTAGGCCAAATAAAAATTTCAGGGTGTTTGCATCTAAGAGGATCGGTGAAGCCAAACTACTTTCAGGATTTTAATGATTTGCTCTAAATCTTATCATTAATGGGAATTCACACTCTTGATTTCCCTTGGCTGGTTAGTTGGACATCTGACACTTTTAGATTGGAGAAGAAAGGAAAGAATTTGCTTAAAATATAAAATAGTCAGGCAAGGAATATGGTGCACAATACAGGATCGAGGTGGATAGCTGGGGTTATGGCTTCTGCTGCATGAGTTATTGAACCCTAAGTGCAATGTAAAAAAGTAGGAAGGAAAATCTTAGGCTGCATAGCTAAACCACTTTTTAATCATTTGTTCATGGCATGTTGGAGTTGTTGCTGGAGCAGTAATTTGTTGCCCATCTCTAACTGTCTATGTAAGTGTGGTAATGAGCTGCTTTCTTGAACTGCTGCAATCCCTGTGGTGTAGGCTCATTCTCAGAGCTGGGAGGGTAGGAGTTCCAGAATTCTAGCCTATCAACAATGGTAAACACTGAGGTTTTTTTCCCAATTTGGTGATACACTTCAGAAAGCCAGTTAGTGAAGAATGGAACCGGAACCAATCTTTTTTACACTTTTATCAGTATTTATTTAAAGTGTTACACATTAAAACCATACACCTGCTAACAAAACAACCACATTTTCAGTTTATGTCCTATTTATAGGTATGCAAGTGAATCCCCAATTAATGCTCAACATCCTGTACATAATTGAACACAGTTAATGTGAAAGTAACAACAGAAAGGCACACTACTTGAAGATTTATTTGCAGGTGGTGTTTTTCCTATGTGCTCAATGCCCTAATTCTCCTAGGCACTAGAGGCTGCAGGTTTGAAAGATATTATCGAGGAGCAGTGGGTGAGTTGCTGCAGTACATCTTATTGATGTTACCCAATGGCGGCTATGATGCATCAATGGTGAAGGACATGAATGCTACTCGGGACCGCCAGTGCCAATCCTATACCTCAACTTCATCTTCCTGTCTACACCCCACATCCATCGATTCCCTCAGGACCAAATATCTGCCCATCCCAGCTTTACATATATTCAACAAAAGAGCAGCCACAACTCTTTGGGGGCAGAAAATTCTGAAGTGTCATTAACATTCGGGCAAGAAACTTCACCTGTTCTCAGTTCTAAATGATCATCCTCCTATCCTGAAACTCTGCCCCAGTGTTCTAGATTCCCCAGCCTCGAGGGAACAGATTCCTTGCTGAGATGGTGTAGCTGAATAATGTTCGCAGATATTAGAGGAACCAGTTTTTGACATGAGAAATCGTATGAGGTGAATGTAAGAAATGACGCTGACCAGACAGAACCTAGTGGCCTTTTCTGTTGCTGCATCTTCCTATTTGTGAGGTAACGTTACACCCTCTCCACACCCAGTACACACACATAAATGCCAGATAGGCAAGGCTATTTCAGACAATAGGCACTGAGAAGTTGGTCTGCATGCCCATAATTGGTGCAATACAACCTTCCAGTACTTCCTCGTGCTGGCATCATGATAGCTCCTAAAAGTAGATCACTTTGTACTACCAAATATCTCAAATCCAGAAACCTGCTCTGAGGTCGTTGGCTGAAAATGAAACCCATTCACTGCAAACTGCAGCTTCAGTCTTGTCTTCACTTTTTATGTTTTTTTTGAACATAGCTCTGTTTAGCTGTGGGGGAATGTGTGAACAGGAATTACTAAAATGGATTAGAGAAATTGAAACAGTTTATTTTGGAGAAGGAGTATGCTTATGTAGCATATTTCATGATCATAAGGAGTACCAAAGCATATTGGAGCCAGTTAAGTATTTCTGCAGAGTGCTCCCTGTTAAAAGGTGTGTTCTGGACTCCCACCAGAGGGAATAACTTTGATTTAATTTATTTGATAGGGATAGGATTTGATAATCAGTTTCAATCAGATCACCCTTCTAACCTCTATATTAAAAGGAATAAAAACCTGATCTGAACAACTTGTCTTCATTA